TGCCGAAGCTGTCAATGAAGATAGTAAGGAAATCTGAAAATTACTGTTTTCTTTGATAGACGGAATTACGTCTTGCTTATGCTTGTTTTCTTCCCATTTTTACAAAAACATTATGATATCGAAGAATAAGAATCTATGTTTGATTGCCGGAATGGAACTAAAACATGGTGGATTGCTGATAGATTTGACTCGAGGAACTTTCTTCTTCCTCATCATATGGCTTCATGCAATAATATCAAGCATATTCGGTTAGCAGTCGGAAAGTCTTCAGTTTGAATCCCGCAGACAGTATCTGTGATTTTCCTATTTCCCATTTCAACAATCCTTATAGATTCTACAAGGTACACAAAATTGGAAATTAAAAGTCCTATAAAAGTACACATTGTTGGAACACGTCAGAGATTTGTTAGGAATAGTACAATATTAATAATGTTTTGTTAATTAAGGGACTTACTAAAATGTTATTTATCATTAAATAATACTGAACAAAGAAATCAACAGAAATCAATAAAGAGTACTGATAAAACATAGCGAATAGATATCGCTGAATGATACTGATAAAACAATTTTAACAAGTATGTAGTGTAGAAACATAAACTTCCGCTTAAGTATTTTAAATTGCCTGTTTTATAAAAATGAACCTACAATTTGCTGTAAAATTTCAGTAAGGTAAATCCTCTTTAATCATCGTTCAAGCTCTATGTAAGGCATGATTCCAAAGTCAATAATCATTAGATTACTTGTTTTTTTCATTTAGAGATTAAAAACACGCAGTCTCATTGAGTGATGATGGTCTTTGTATCAAATGTCTTTAGTTTTTATATTTTTTAATGAAACAAAATCTGATATTTTCTAATTTTTATTACTGAAAAATACTAATTTAAACAGAAAGAATTTCATAAACAAATTTAACTAAAAGCTATTATTGTATACATTAAATTCCATTTCTCGTCACAGCAATCCTTTTTTTTTAATTAATCAATGCATATCAGATCTTATTTTCAAAAATCATTTAAAAACATGCTTTTATTACTTTCGTTTATATTAGGGGATCTCGTTTTAAAACCTACGGATGGGCACCTGACAGGAAATGAAATTGTACTTCCTGTTCATATTGAATCTCAGTTTTCGCCAAGAATAGAACAGCTTAGATACATAGTTGTTCCTGAAGATTCCTTAATAACATTAAACTCTTCATTCTTATTTCTCGAAGACAAAGATAATATCGAGGATGTTATTTTTAAAATTTTGCAAGGTAAGTGATTGTTCTCTTTCAGAAAATTCTAAAATAATAAATGATAACTTTAAATTTACTAATTTTGAAAAATATAGCAGCAAAAAGACGATTGAAATATTTTCTAAAGATTGGATTTTTCTTCTATGTTTCTTATGCGGCTATTAAATTTGAACATATGAAATAAAAAGTAGAAATTTTTTAATGTTTTTCCCTTCTAAAAAGGCTTATAAGAGTTTATTTAGCTCTCTGAACACTATAAAGAGCGAGAACTGTAACATAAGAGGGAGAGTTGGGGACAAAATTGTAAATCTGATGCACTTTAGGTTCTTTATCTGGATAAGTATCAAGGGAAGGTAATTTAATTTTATTTATTGCTATATTGCCTGTTACAATTATGCGAATTATACATTGAGTAAATGAAGCCATGCTATAGAAATTAAACTTTAATTGAGTTATTTCATTGTAAAAAGTAAATAAATAAGTAAAAAAAAAATAGAAAGTAAAAAACGTTCTCTTACCAAAGAAATTTTTACCTGCATAGTTTTTGCATACGTTATTACTTAATCACGTCAAATTAATATTTTATAATTTTTTTCTTATCTAGGTCCGTGCTCTGGAAAACTACTTTTACTACCAGATGGAAACGAAATACTTCAAGTGACATCTGAAGAATTCTTTGAAAATAGATTAGCTTTCAGGAGCTTCAAAACCAACGACAATTACGAGGATAATTTTGTACTTCAGGTTTCAGATGGCTTCAATTCAAAAATAATCAATGTCAAAATTTTTATTTTACCTAAGGTATCTTCTCAGTTTTTATATTAAATATGTTTCTAATCCTAGTAATTTTAACTCTGTTTATTTATGAAATATTCTGTATTATTTAATACTATAGTTTTTGCAACATAAACATTACAACTGTCAAAAGAAATTAGTCAGATCTTCAATTTCAGTTCACCGACGATGATTCCATCTTGACTTCCAGTTTGAAACAAACCACTGCTTCTCTAAGAAATTAAATTTAAAAGGTTATATAAATGGCAAGATTCAGTTTTCAAAAATAATGGTTACTTATAGGCTTCTTTCTTAGTATTATAATTCTAGTTGTTTCAAATGGTCTATGTCGGAAAAGATACAATTTTTCAAAGCAGCTTAATTTTTATGCAAATGCAACATCGTGAAAATAGATCCTTAGAAAGCTGCACCTTCCTGACTGTGAACAGGAATTGGAAATGGAAAAGCATAAATCATATTCCAGGCACCTTTTTGGAATGGACACACAAGTCAGAGATTTACAGAAAAACGTAACGATTGCCACTATTGATATTGAGTTTCACTCAGGTTTTTTTCAAGTATTATAGATTTAGAACTACATAATTCATATTTCAGGCACAATTTTGGAATGGACATACCACCAAAATGACTGCCACTGTTGGTATGGAGTTTTATACAGATTTTTTGTCAAGTTTTGTAGAGTTCAAAGAATAATACGAGTTTAATTAATCTGGACTATGGAAATATGTATTTTCTAATCAGAAATTGCCTGAATATGTGAACTGAAATATGTGAAATCTGTAACGAGAATACAATTGTCCGGAAGACTGTGTTTTTGTTTCATTTAAAAATGTTTATAAATTTTTTTGTCAAAAATTAATGTCAACACTCGTTTAGATTTTGGGTTGCAATCTGAATATTAGTTATTATTTGACTGACCAAAATATTTATAATACGGAATTTATGAAATATATTTTAAAGCATTTTCTCTGTAGATCTCTATTCACTTTTTATATGTTGTCTAGTTGCTTCACAAATTATTTGTTGCTGATAACACCATCGAAAATAAAGAAATTATGTTTAGTACTTAATTGAACATTAAATTTAAGTGATAGGGAAAATAATTACATTCACATATTATTGTGCCTCATACTATTTACTAAATTACTGCTTTATTTCCAAACTGCCATACGTTTTATCTATCTTTTATTATTTTGACTTCTGATTTTAAATTAAGAACAGAATTTTCTTCTTCAAAGAGTTTAAAGGTAGTTGATAGTTGATAGCATACGAGATCACCGGTGTTTTACCATGGGGACAACTTTCTGTAAGTTAGATTTGTTGTCAAAATTAGAGATTTCTCCAGGTTTGAACAGATTTGTGAGACCGAATTCATTTTATATGTGAGGCTCTGGTACTCCTGACGATGGAATTCTTGCTACGATGAGCGCTTGCATGGAGTGTAACTTATCAGATATTTTTTAGAATTGGAGGCTAATGACTTGATGTGTGTTTTATGCGTGCAGAATGTCTGAAGGGAGAAAATTACTGATGACATAATGAAGTTTTCCTTCAGATAAGAAATTCTTCATCAGGGAAGACAATATATCAAAGAATGCCTATATTTTCTTCTAAAATACTCATTATTTTCATGATGTTTCTTTTGTGTTCTTTTCTAAGGAAAACTATATATTTTGGATTTATTTGTGATAGATGCTAAATATGGTAATCTTTTGTTATTTGGGAATTTAAATAGATAATGTCTTAATTTGGCGGAGATGCAAATATCTGTTGATGAGATACTTCTGGAATAAAGGTTGGTAGGGAATTGACTATTACCTGAAAAAATCCAGTTTAAATGTGTAGTAGTTATATGTCTACTAGTATTACAATTTGGAAACATTCTGAAAGTAGTCCTTTTGTCCCTTTTGTGTGATATCCAATTCTGTTGCTATGCTGTCGGTACTATTTGCTGCAGACTGAAAGTGAAAGGATTTCTTGACCAAGGTAAGCATAGGATGTGGCTGTTTATTGTTGCTGTGTCTTGTGCAGCTTCTTTCACAAGTTTATCTGTTTCTTCGTTTTTATCATTTCCATCGTGTTCTTTGATCCATGAAATAATATTATTTTGTTGTTTACATTTTAACCAACTAACAGTTTTGTGGATCACCGTTCGAGTGCCGTGAAAGGGAACTTCCCTGATTTGCCTGTACACCGCTCAGTACCAGCCAGTGCATTTTCCTACACCAATCCGCTGATTTGCCCGGTCTTTTCACTTTTCTTACTTTCGCAGTGTTTCTAATAAGTGTCTCTAATAACTGTCTGTCTAAAACCAGTTCAAAGACAGGTTTCACTGCTTTTCGTTTAGGCTTTGTCGTTGCTCAAAAAGGAAAGATAGCTGAAAATGTGTCGGAAAATAAACTAGGTATTTTGGTTCCGATTGTGATATTGTACTCTGCTTACTTTTAGGTTTTAAAATATATCATACCAAAGTATATACTGCTATTTTCGAACCATCAGTGGAAGTTAAATGATAAAATGCTAGAGATACTAATTTCCTGGTGGTTATGTGATGTGGAAGATATTTTTGAGCTGGTTGACAATCGAGATAAGAGTTCCTGGGCTCGTAATTGACTGGGCTGAAGATGTTGCCAAATGCATTGGTTGGGATATTAGGTTGCAGGATTTAGGCTCTAGTACCTTTGACTTGTGCTTTGATATGCAGAGGTATTTGATATGTAGAGGCAGTGTTTGATATGAGAGGTTTTCTTCCTGTTAAAATTTGCAATGCGGAAGTAGAAGTAGTTTTATACATTCTTTGGTAAATTGAGAAGTAAAAGTCGTGAATACTAACAATCAACAGTCTTTTCTTTTCCTGCATATTTTCTTAATATTATAAATTAAGTAGCACATGTTTTTACGTTTTAAAATAGGATAGTCTTTATGCTGCTTATATTTGTTTCTACTTCTAGAAAAATAAAGATTTAGCTGTTGTACGAATTAAGCCTTTGTATGCAGAATTGGATTCTGCAGTAAAATTCACAAAGGATCATTTGCTCACGGTAGGTGAAAATTTAAACCCTAGCGAAATTATGTACAGCATTGACAGTTCATCTTTTCCTCTATCTGGTAAGATTTCACACTGTGTTTTTCTTTTTATTTATCTAATTTATTATTATTATTTTATTTAATTTTATTTTGAATATTTTTGTATTGACTTTGTTAAATCATTTATATTTGCAGGACAGTTTTTGGAAATGTTCTAGTAATTCAGCAGACATTCAAGAAATGAATGGCAAAATAATCTTGTTTAGTCAAGAAGATATTGACAAAGGAAAAATATTTTATAAACATAATGATAACAGCACATCAAAAATCATATTGCATTTTCAAGTATGTTCACATTCGTAATAATCTGCAGTAGTTAAATATAAAAGATAGCTATATATTGAAAAGTAAACAATATTAAATTCATCACGTTTTCAACTTGGATCAAGCTATTATAAAAAATAATGTTAATATAATTTTTTTATTATTTTTCTGTAATAGCTTGATCGAGGACGAATATGTAATGGATTTAAATGTCTTTTATTTTTCAATATTATTACCATCAGTTGTTGAAGCTTTTGGAGCATAAGTGGATTAGATTTAGAATTTCTTCTATACTGCATTTTTCCATTATATACAAGGTGCCCACTTAAGTCCGGTACCACCTATTTAACTGCCGAATGCTTGCAGTTATAGTCATAAAAATGGTGGCTAGGTATAGTAAAGTGGCTATGTGCTACTAAATGATACTGCTTACGGTGTCATCTGGTGAAAAAAGCGGGATTAGCGTTCCTAATCCCGAAAAAATGGCGAAACAGGAGGAAAGAATGAATAACAGAGTTGTAGAGCATCATTGATTTAGCATGAAAAGACACCTCGTATACATGAATGTTAAGAACACAACGTTTTAAACGCGTATTTATATGTTCGCGGTTTTATACTCTGTGACATGATAAAACTATCTTAGAAAGGAAAAAACAGCTAGTTACCATAAGATATCGTTATTTTCGATGTCCAAATTTCTCCCCGTTAGCTGAAATGCACTCCTGGACCCTTCTTAGAACTTAACATGCATACATTGTAGAATAGCGAGTGACACGTTTACACAAGCATCGTTAACATGTCGTTGAATGCCCTGCAGTGTTTGCAGAGGGACAGCATACATCTGCTATTTCCTCACAGAAAAACGTTCATTAGATTTAGATAAACGTGGAAGCCACTCTTAGAAACCACCACACCAGTTTATTCGTTCTTCAGATTCTCCATCAAGTACTGCTTAACTGGTGATATCTAGTGCGCGTTATGTTGAACTATCCGTTCCGGAGTTGAAGCAACAGCAGAGTCTCAACACAATCGGATATTATGTCTTGCAGAAGTTCTAAATATCGTGCAACCGCTTACGTACCCTGACAAAATATTGGGCTGATTAGCCTATTATTGTAAATTCCACACCAAATATCTGCACAAGGATGCACCCTGCGGGGTTTGAACCACACTTCTTTTGATTGCCAATTACAAGTGATATAACTGTGCCGCTATGCCGCACAGTTATATCGCTTGTAATTTGCAATGAAAATCCAAATTCATTCGTAATTTTCGTCCGAAATATAATCTTTTCTCTCTTCGTCCAAGTTTAGTGACGTCAGAGTTTTGGAAATCGTGAAGAAACACACTTGCGTTTTCAATATTCTGTTTCTAGTATTCATATCCACAAGATTCTAAAAGGTTCGTACTAAATCGATAATGCTGTACAATTTTATAATTCACTTTTTTCTCCTATTTTGTAACTTTTTCGAGATAGGAACGCGTTCTGCGCCGTTTTCCACAGGTCGCACTGTAAGCGGTCTTCTCTAGTAGCGCGTAGTCACTTTACTACACCTAGAGACCAGTTATATGACTATAGCTGCAACCGTTCAGCAATTAAACGAGTGGTACTGTACTTTAGTGGGCACCGTGTATATATTAAAACTATTTTTCTTAAGCATTTAAGAAATGTTTCGTAAAACACTTAGTAACTAGGCGATGAACATTCATCGGAAGTGCTTTTTGATGAATTGAATGTAAATTCCATTCTTAAAAAATTAGAATATATTCATGTCTAATGTAAAAATGCTTAAGAATAATATTCAGTATCTCTTGTTTTACTTTCTACTCTTAATGTTTTATCAAGAGTAACCAAAGCATCAAGATTGAAGGTCATAAATCTGTGAAAAGTCTGCAATGGATACATAGTAGTAATAACTAGCTCCAGTATAACTGAATATAAAGCTGAAAAAGTCTTCGAAAATAGGAATAAATTCAGAATTCTTTAGTTGCAGAACCTTTTGTGTGTAAAACATATATCAGCCAGCCCGCTGATGTGTTTCTTTCTTATATAGTACTACTGCTGGTGAGTTATTGCCATTCAATTAATTATCAACTAAATTTCAAAATAAAACAATACCAAGCCCATTTCAAATTAAATATAATTTTATTCAATAGCAAATTATATAATTATTATCTAAAATTAAAGCACTGACTGCTTTTGGCAGGCCAATAATAATGCTAACTGACTAAAATCTCTTTGAAAAGTAATACACTAACTCTTCAGGAACTAGAAGCATATGACAGCAGCAACTGATAAACAAACGTACCTATTATCATACAAATAAATTAGAGCTCTCTTCAGTTTCAGATTCAATTACCACATTCACGCAAGCAGGGGCAAAAAAGTGCAGTATCAACTGGATTCAATATTAGTCAGCCAAAACATGAGCAGTTATAATTAAATCGTTTACGTTAATTTGCTTGCAATGCTTCTTATTCTGATAACTATGTTGATTAACTTGAAGTTTCTGCTTGTTTTTATTCAGAATGAACCCATTAGAATCCCCCTGACAGGTTAATAACTTAAATGAATATTGCATTTACCTCCATCAAAAGATTGGATTTTTGATTATAGATCGCTTACATTAGTTTTTTTATTGATCTCTTATGTCTAAGAGATCAATAAATCAATGATAAAGCTAATCAGGCTATCTTTCTAAGAGAAGGGATACCTCCGTTGCGGAAGGTTTAAAAGAAACTGACTTGTATTCACATTATAAACGAGGCAGTCTTTGAAACTCCCATTCAGCTAGCCAACCCTGGGATTCAGATTTACGTTGAACTACTAGTGTTATGCAGTTTTATCTACTCGAATCCTGGTGGAGAAGTATTTTGTAAAATTGTCCGCAAAAGGAAAGTAAGATGAAATTTTAATTGAACTAATAATCACATCTTCATCATCCCATATAATTTAAATATATGATATAGGGTTGAGAGATCGTTTGACTTCCTTAATTTTTCTTGTTATACCATTGGTCAACTATTATGATTTTCTTCTCGTTTTCAGTCTTCAGGCAGTGTTTTTTTTTTTTTTTTTTTTTTTTTTTTTTTTTGTTTTGTTTTGTTTGTTTACATTTTCGTCCATATGTTCATCCTTTAAGCGTCATCTTGAGAGAAGCCCACCAGCGGCCGAGCGGTAAAGTCGCTGAACACTGGTAGTTCGGTCCGAGGTTCGAATCCCGCGAACGGGCTGGCTGCATGGGCATTTTCGTGGTTTTCCCCATGTGTAACGTGTATACGAGCCAGTTTCCCTTATAAAGTCCTCCACGAAGGCATCCCTCCTCTTAGGCAGATAGCCTTCGAGGCTTTGCCATAATCACACACACACATCTTGAGAGAAAAATCGCTGACAAATATAAATCACTTAAAACATCTGCATTCCTCTAGCCATTTCATTCGCAAAATCCGACCACTTTTTATTTCGGCTACAAATCGATTGAGAAATATTTTGTCTTTGTCGGTTGTAGTTGCTGGGCACTAACGGCTCATGTGCATTCCTGTTTATTCATTATAGCTGTTTTATATTCAATCGTACAATCTTTACGGCTCATGTATGCATTCGTTTTTATAGTGTATAACGTTGCGCGCCTCCAACTTGCACGCAACCAAGAGGTGACTGTGAAAACTTGTATAAAAGATAAGCCTTGTGAAGGGTTTAAGTCCCTTTTTATTCAACGTAATAAATTACAATTGCGTCCTCTTGACGCTTACAGACTGGTGCCAACTTGGCAGTCAATAAAAATAATAACCTGAAAAGAAAGTAAAGACAAGATTCTAACTACGAGGCTCTCTAAAATAACTAACTCACCGCGTTTTACAATACCGCTGCTAATTCAGCAGACTTGAAGCTCACTGGAACGATTTCCACTACTTCCCGCCAAGCACATAGGCCGCAAACGCGGGGTTCTTCAATTCTCGCTAACTACCTCCGCGCTCGCTAAGTAAGAGAATCTCTTACCGAACTTGTTTCCTTCTATTTAAATCAGAATACTTCCGCTGATAATTTGAATCCCTGCGCGTTCTACTCAAATTTACATATTCTGGCATTGGCAGTTCCAGGGGAAAGTAAGGCTTGACAGGAAAGATAGTTTAAACTTAAAATAAATGTTAGTTAAAATAAATATAAACCCTACATTTGCCGCTGCCAGAATTTGGAAAACTTGGAAGCAGGTCCTACAAACGACCTGTTGTAAGTTTATCTAATTCTGAACTAACTGGCGAGAACCTCGTTTACACAAAAAAAAATCTTATGTAACAAATTATATTAAAATTCTGTTACTCGTTACAAAGCTCTCTTCTTACAGCAACTTTTCCTGGACTTCATCAATCAATCTTGGTCTTTCCTTCCAGCATCTGGAAGGAATAAGTATCAGTATCTTTCTACATACATTATAATTTACACTTTCTTGACACAATAAATTTTTGTTTTTAAACGATTCGTTTTTCTTAGTTATTGCTTACTTCACATTCATTCAATTTTTCAAGCATTAATTTAACTTTACCCTGGCTCTCCACCGTGTGTGGTGTCAAACGGGAATATTCGTGTTTTAGTCTTACAACACTTCCCCTAACCACCATGATTTGTTAGAATTCAACAACCAAATAGACACACCTTACTCGACATTCTACAACTCAATGAGCTACTTTAATATTCTTAAAAATTCAAATGTAGGTGGAGAACCCTACAAAACACATTCATTCTAACTTCCCCCTCATTCATCTTTAAACATGCAGGCTTTCGCTCTAAAGCATGACTTTACAGTTTAATACTTAAATTTTGACTTCATTGCTTTTAAGCATTCACTTTTAGCATCTACAATTTTATGCTTCTAGACTAAATTCTACTTTTACATAACATGCAAGTATTTACATACATTTACAAAAGTTTAATACATATGCTTTTTACAATTTACCATAAAATGAATAAGAGAAAATAAATTTTTACTTTACTCATTCTTCGCCAAGCTGGCGGCACTGAA